TGACCTTGATATATGTTGTCAAGGACATAACCCTGAGTAACTTTTCCTTATAACTTAACCGGCGGTCTCTTATAGTTTCTGAGATATTTAAAGTTATGATTTCACAATTTTAATGATTTTTCTATTATAAAATAAAGAAAAATAAAGATTGTTTACATTGTATTTACGTAGATCGGGGGGGGGCGGAACTCACTGCGTTCACGCATATATTTTCTCATCCATGCAACAATTGTGGGGCGGACTGTCTCTCTGTGTCTATATTAATACCCAAATGTTAACTTTAAATATCTCAGAAACTATAAGAAACCGCCGGTTAAGTTATAAGAAAAAGTTACTCTGGGTTATGTCCTTGACGACATATGTCAAGGTCAAAGTTATCGGTGAGGTGTAACCAAATATGCATATTTACCTTTTTTTTATATCAATTGATTTGTCTCATTATTCTGTAACATAAAAGTATTACGGTAAGATTATCGAAAACTAAATATTTTACGAGATATTTTAATATAATTTTATATTCATTTTATATTTAATGATAAATATATATTTTTTATTTATATTTATTTAAATCAAAGTAAATAAATATGTATGTGTGTGTGTGTGTAAAAAACATAGTATAAGACAGATATAATCAGATAACATTAAATTTATAAAAAAGATGATATTTTTATATACCAGAAAGTTAGTGTTGGGTTCTCTCGCAAAAATAATGGATATTTTTAAATGTCTTAAGTGTCTGAAAAATGTTGAATATAATCTAATCGAGATTTTAGTGATAAAAAATGATGCAAAAAATAATAGATTAATTTGTTATCCTTAGATCAATTATCTTCATTGATTAAGGTTTAGCGCTGTGTATTACAAAATGTAGATTCTCATCTCTATTTTGTAAGTGCTGTATTAATATTTAGTACAGTCATAGGAGAGAGAGAACAAACAGCAGAGCAATAGTGACAACAGTAACAACGGCATCGATAACGATAGCTAGCGATCGTAGTAATAATAGTAATTATTAGGTCACTTCAAAAGCTAGTAGAAAAAACGTGCTTAGAATGTGCTCATCTACTTATAAAGAAGAGAAGTCCTTCATCTAAAATGTAAATGATTGCATATTCATACGAGAAGATTGTCCATGCGATAATCTTCATATGAGACTTTCGACGAAATGTGATTGTTCACCCCAAAATAATTTTGTGACCTTCGTCGATAGTTTCATCGATTTCATTACCTTCGCCACAAATATCTCGTTTGCTTGATTTGTTTGCGCTTGTATTTTCTGTTTATATACATCATTATTTACTAAGATTATTTTAAACTTATTTCCTTTTGCGTTTCTTTATCTTGAATTGTTATTCGTATAATTTATTGTTTATTCGCGAAAAAATCAATTCAAATTCTCTTAAATAATTATTACGAACAGTACACGTTAATGAAGATATTAACTATTATATCGAATATCGTATCACTAAAGAAAGAGAGTACACAACGATACAAATATTATTCAATCTAATAAACAAAGTATACAAGGTCTCTTGATACGAGATAATACGTATACGTATATGTTATTTTGGCAAAATTCGAATTCAAATCATCCAATATTTATAACGTCGGATATGTGTTTCTAGGCCGATTATAGATTTATCTCACATTTTGTCGTATTTCTTTCGCGATATATCTGACGTAGCCTTCACAAAGGCGCAACCATCTATCTCGTTTATGACTCTTGCGAGACTTGTCGTCGGCATTCGAGGCGAGAGAGCGATAAGAGAAGCGATTATATTGACAAAAATATATAAGCAGCACAATCGTGATTAAAAATATTTCTCCTTTTTTCATATGTCGATCTGCTCTCCCCCTTCTCATCGCCGCTCTGTGTTTTGAGTAAAAAATTACTTTCTTCCGATGTTTGTAAACGCTCGCGATTCCGCTTGCCCGTTTTTTTCATGATTTGAGAAACTCTGCCGTTTACAAATTACAAAGAAATTCTCAATGAAATTGCAAGACTCATCCGAATAGTTGGATTTCAATGATCCAATGTTGAATAAAATAAAAGATGCCGATCCGAATATTTACAAAAGTGTAAGATTAATATAAACATACGCATGGAAAAACGTTGTTAGTAATGCAATTGCGACAGAGTATAAGAACTGCGCACGTATATATCGTCGTTAAGAATTTCGTTTCAATATCGATTTGCGAAAATAAATCTTTGATTGAGAACTTTCGTTGACATCTCTTAACATCTATATATCGTTAACACCGAGTTTTAATGTGTGATGTGAGATAGTGACACCGTATTTATCCTTACGTATCATTTAAATACATGTACATTTTGATTATCTTTCTCGTTACAGTTTCCCCACACAGAGATGCGTAATAATATATAATGTATTTATATGAGGTGTATATATGCGTGTGTTCCACACGCGACCCGATCGACATCGACGCCGCAAGAGAGTTTTATATTATATACACATATACGATATCTATATTTAAATATATTTAAATATCGCCGTATCTCTATATCTCTGCGCACACACCACACTCGATATATAATAATAAATCTGTGATCCTTTTTAACCGTTTAAACGTGACTCACACATTGTGAGGGTGTTACCAGGTCATTTTAATTAATTATATGTACGGTATTATCGCGTTTATTATCTATTGTACTAATTACTCGGGCGGGGTAAGCGCAATAATTCTGAACTATTCATTTTGCCCCCTAATTTCATTGCGGGACATTGTAGATGGGATTTAAACATTCACATTGACGCGTCCCGAGGATCATCGTAAATTATACCGAAGCAAGTAAGAAATAGGCTCGTATTAGAATTTTCGTAGTATTGTTTTTTCCGCATTATCTTGTTAATTTTCACGCATCGCCGATCGCGAATCGTGCGATCAAACCTTTCTAGGATTGCTTCGTGATATTATAGTGATCTTTGGGATCGCTACGCGAAAAGGGACGTCGATATTAGATCTGAGAAACGTCAAGGAAAAATCAGCCTGTCCGTCCCGCTATCAGTCTACGAGCTACAAAAATTGTGCGACTTCTAAACACTGAGTTTGGTTATTATTCAAGTTGGCGGCAAGTACCTCTGGAACTCTTTCTTCCTGTCTCTCTTCCACTCCTCTCATCACACATTGCCTCAAGCTAATTACTTTTCTTTTTTTCTTTGTTATCGGCTCGGCCAGCGAGCCTTGAAACGTTGTCTATCATTAAGTTAAAGCAGATTGCGCCGATCGAGGCACTCCGTTAGATTCGGATGTTTTCTATCGTCATCATTTTTCTGGAATGCGGACAGAAAATTCTAAATCTTTCCTTTTCATCATATCTTATCGATAATTAAAACTATACAACTTATCCTACAATTATTTTGCAATGACATAGTTTGCGTTGAACTCTTACATTACAACACAATCGTTCATACAATGTTTACATAAATGGCAAATCTCTTTGATTCAAGCACAATGGAAAGTATAAAATATAATTTAAAATTATATATTGATTATATTATTAGAGCAGAGATCGTTTATATAACGTTGCAAACTTTCTGTTCCGCATCCTAAATTGAGCATCGGCTTTTAATAGAAATCGCGAATCCTGAAAGTGCCTCGTCGATGCGAAAGGATCAAACAAGCTTTGTCGTCCTTTGTTGATTCTTAGTACCGATATCTGAATTAACGCGTGCGAAATTCGATCGAATCACTGACTGGATCAACCAGATGAGACCGCCGACGACGGCAGATGTCGGTCGAGTTTCGTTTCGGGCGGTCGACGTTCCCGTCGAAATATATTCCTCTCAGGAAAAGTGGACCCTCATCTTATCTCATCAGGATACATGACTGCCTGCGGTTATATATATATATCCGCCAAAAAAAATAATCTCTATCTCTTTCGTTTTCTCTTTCTCTCTTCATACTTCATATACTGCTCGTGCGAACATACTTGCGCAGGTACACCTTTATTGCTAAAATCACTGCGAAATACCGACGCAAAAAGCACTCGCGGATCTCGAAACGCGCTAATCAAAGGAACTGTTCTATGGAACATATTCTGTTCTCTTTACCATCTCCTTATCGAGCCGAAACGTGGTGACGCTGACGTCGTTCCACAAGCGCGAGTTGAAAGCGTTACATCTTTATGATTTTTAAAATTGATTGTCTTCTTGAACAATTGTACGATGAAATCATCTGAAGTTGATTGTCTTTTGGATATATGCTACACATGATTTTTTAGATCAAGTTTGTCATACGATATATGTATAATCGATCCGTGTTGTTGACTAATGATTGTTTTCCTAAATTATTTTTTACGATAATCTAAAGTTTTTATGCTCCTTATAATAATTTTTTAAAAAATCTATTTGAAGAGAAAGAATAATATATATTCTAAAAACACACACTTTTTTTTATTATTTGTATGCGTTTGCAAAAGTTAATACATGATTGAATATTCGATTAGATGATCATTCAATCATTCAATCTGTTTGTCTTATCAATTGATTTAATACAAGTCAATTGCAAGTGTCAATTGATTTAACGTTTCTTTCTTTTGATAGCAAAAAATAGGATATATAATAATATATATGTATAACAGGAAATAAAATTAATATTCATATATAATAAATTTTAACTGATCGAGATATTGAATAAACAAAGATACTTCTTTTGAACGATATTTCGCATAACGTCATGAATAAATTTTAGAAAGGAATAGTCACAACACGGAAAGACCCGGACCTGGTCGACGATAAAGTTGGTTTATTTTCTGGAACAACGTGCGTCTCATCGCTACATTCAAGGATTTGTAATAATAAGAAACGCCATTGTCTTGAATAGATCGAAATTGCATTGGTCTCGAGCTAGCCAGCATCGCGATGTGATCAGCCATGATTTCCATCAAGAGATAATCTTGACGACGGACTCGCCCTCATCCTTGAGCAAAAGACTCAATCTGAGGTCGAGTTCGCCGGCTTCGAGGGCCCACTTTTCCCTCAGCCATCATGGTGAGTCTGCGTTCTGCGTGCCGGATACCAGTCGAAAATGAATTCTTTCGGCGGCAGCAGATCGAGGTTTACTTCGGCGCCGCCCAATCCTTGGTTGCTCTCGAAGCCCTGTTTCTTCTCCCACAGCATCACCAGCAAGTGTCTGCCCTGCAGGATGTCACAGCGGCCGTACTTCAGCGTCTGCCGATACTGCGGATTCTTCGAGTGCCGTATCACGCGAGTCTTGCGCTTCTGCAGCCACTTCTCGCCATCTCGTTCTCGCAAGTACGTCTTCACGTAAGTATCTGCGGATAAGAATAAAAGTTTCGTGCCATCGAGATCAGGACTTGAGAAAAATATTGTTAAAATCAAATACTATTTTCAGCGTGCCTGCGTGAAATGTATTCTTTTCTCTTGGGTGTGAATCTTCAATTAATTTTCTTCAGAGATAAAAAAAAATCTTTCAATCTTTCTATAAATTATATATGAAAATCCCAGGTAGCAAGATGTCGTCATTATAACCACATTTTAAGGTCCTTTCGCGTCATATGATGTCAGTCGATTAAATAATGACGTTATACAGACGTGATATTTTTGACGACATTTTGACGACATATTATCGTCACAGAAATACTGTCATTTAATCGTCTTTTTAAGGTTATTTACTGATCAATTAACTAATGTTGTTAAAATACGTCAATATTAAAATTAACGTATTTATATCAGGAAAATAATAAATATTTTATGATACTTATATTATAAGGTTTACATGACTTTCTGTTCAAAACCCTTGAAAATACTATTATAATATTATTATATTACAAAACTATGAAATATTGTTTAATATTAATAATTGAATTTGATGCGCATGTTTTCATATATCCAAAATTATTATTTTATTAATATTTCATGAGAAATGTTACTGCGCGCAACATTTCAAAACTTTACAAAAAGATAGTTCATACTTCAGCCGCTAGTTCATTGCGCCCATCTCGTATTTGAGTTTCAGTCATGAGAATTATATAAAGCTTGCAAAGAGCAACTGGCAGAAGATTAATAATGTAATTATTTTTATCAGTTTAATTTCTGATTTAATCCCAATATATGGAATTCAGATATTAGACTGATAGTTTAAAAATCAGGCAGATAAATATCCGAAAAAGTTTAAAATTATCCGTTTATATCAAGCGACGCGGTAGCATCGCGACGCCAAGTATATATAAAAATTCGTTCCAGCGTGTCAACAGTTTGCCTATGTACAGGGGCTGCGACGCTACCAAGTAGCTTATCCGGAATTTTAGGTCTAATAAACGTATGTCAGAATTGTGACATTTTTCGTTCTTCATCATTATCATAATAATCATAAGAAGATAAGTTTCAGACTCTCACGTACGTATGCTCGCACGCACACACGCAAAGCGATTTTGTCCCTCAAGGCGCGTTCATATCGCTCATATACGATAATTCTTTCGTATATTACCCTTTTATAAAATTATAATTTTAAAAATTTATAATAAATAAGAGAGAGAGAGAGAGAGGGGGGAGAGAGAGCGGGAGAGCGGGAGAGCGGGAGAGCGGGAGATTGATTGATTGATTGATTGATTTTTATTAGCTTTCTCAGCTATTTGTAATACAAATCTAGTTTACATTAATTACAATATACTCCTTTAACATTCGCTTAAACGGCACAATTCTTTCATTCCGCTTTATTTCAGCTGGCAAGGCGTTATACATTTTTACTCCTTCGTAAAACATACTCTTTTGCGCACTCCTTGTTCTGCGATATTTTATTGCAATATCCCCAGCTTGTCGTGTTTGCCTTTCACTCTCATTTCCCACAATTTCGAATCTATTTCTTAATTGCTCCGGTAACATATTTCTTAAAATCTTAAAAATAAATATACACACATTATAATATAGCCTCTGTTTTATGGACATAAACTGCAGCGCTTGCAGCATACGCTCCACTTTGGTATGTCTATCACATTGCAATATGATCCTCATGGCCCGGTTTTGTACTTTTTGCAATTTACTCAGCTATGTTTCTCCCATATTAATTAACAGCGTCGCTGTTAATACTCAAAGTGAGGTGCTATAATTGTCTTATATACAATACATCTAGTGTATGCCGATATATAATTACCTATTCTATTCAAAAAACTTGTTTTTTCCCCTATTTTCTTTAACATATAATCACAGTGGTCCTTAAATCGTAGTCTATCGTCAATAATTATGCCTAGGTATTTCATTATTTCCACACGTTCAATCTCAGTTCCATCCAAACATTTCAATGTTATCTCTCTAACTCCGCGCTGCTTTCTCCAGTTACATATATTAACGTATCATCTGCAAACATTTTTATACTACATCCTTCTGGACAGATCTTTATTATATCATTTATATATACTATAAATAACAAAGGTCCTAATACAGATCTTTGCGGTATTCCATATTCTGTGGTCATTAATTTAGACGATTTATTATTAAATTGAACTTGCTGTGTTCTATCCTTTAAATATGATCTTAACCATTCTATGACCATTTCCCTAATTCCATATTGATATAATTTCTTTAATAATCTTTCTCTATCTATTGTTTCAAAAGTTCGCTTAAGATCCATGAAAATTACCCCTACCATTTTTGCATCACTAACTATCAATTTTCATTCATCAATGACTGTTTGAATCGCTGTTTCACACGAATACTAGGTATTTCATTATTTCCACACGTTCAATCTCAGTTCCATCCAAACATTTCAATGTTATATTACCTCGCAGTTCTTTTCTTATACTTCTAACAATCATATATTTCGTTTTTCCTGCATTCATTTTTAACTTATTTATATTCATCCACTCTTCTACTATAGAAAATACCATATTCATTTTGCCCTCTAATTCCGCGCTGCTTTCTCCAGTTACATATATTAACGTATCATCTGCAAACATTTGTATACTACATCCTTCTGGACAGATTTTTATTATATCATTTATATATACTATAAATAACAAAGGTCCTAATACAGATCCTTGCGGTACTCCATATTCTGTGGTCATTAATTTAGACAATGTATTATTAAATTGAACCTGCTGTGTTCTATCCTTTAAATATGATCTTAACCATTCTATAACCATTCCCCTAATTCCATATTGATATAATTTCTCTAATAATCTTTCTCTATCTATTGTTTCAAAGGCTCGCTTAAGATCCATGAAAATTACCCCTACCATTTTTGCCTCACTAACTATCAATTTCCATTCATCAATGACTGATTGAATCGCTGTTTCACACGAATACTGTTTTCTAAAGCCCGACTGATGTTCCGTTATAATACAATTATCTTCCAAATACGTTTCAATTTGCTTTTTAACTACTAATTCTAACACTTTAAAATACTGCCTTTAATATATCGCACTTTAAAATACTGCCTTTAATATATCGCACTTTAAAATACTGCCTTTAATATATCGCACTTTAAAATACTGCCTTTAATATATCGCACTTTAAAATACTGCCTTTAATATATCGCACTTTAAAATACTGCCTTTAATATATCGCACTTTAAAATACTGCCTTTAATATATCGCACTTTAAAATACTGCCTTTAATATATCGCTAGTTATTCCCTCCTCTGTACCTTTCTTTTTCGGTAGTCCCATAACAATTTCCTGTAAATGCTCTATACTAATCATTTCAAAATTTTCCATAATTCCCTCGTTTTCAATAACATAAATAATTCTTTTACATGCATTCCCAGTTTTACTCCCATTTATAGATTTTACTATACTATTAATACTTTGTATATAATATAAATTAAATTTATCTGCTATATTGCATCCTTCAGTGCTGTCTAATATTTCAAAATCTATATCCTCTACTCCCTTCTTACCTCTTGGTTCGCCTCTAATTATTTCTTTTAGTGTTTTCCACATAGATGTAGGATTTT